TACCAAATCCCAACTCACTTAGATTACCAAAACCATGCCCAAGTGTTTTTCTAATTGAAATCTAATTACACGAGGTACATCAGAATTTGAAAAGCATCGACCCAAGGCATGATTGCCACTAAGCTGCAATGTTCGACAGCATACAAGTACAAAGAATCGAATGATTTTAGCTTATTGATTATATTTAGACCTAATATTTGCACAGAAACTTAAATTGCACTTAAATTAACAACAAATTCTTGCAACACTCACCAAATAAAACCTTAATTATCATATGTTGAACAATTAAAGCAAAAAGCAAAACATTGAGAGAGAGAGAGAGATGTGAAGGGACCTTCGGAATTGAGGAAACGGCAAGGAGCAGATGGGTGGGTAGTGGCTGCTGTCTACCTTCGTCTTTGTCTTCATCTAACGGAGTGGGAGAGAAAAGCGAGACGGAGTGATAGAGGGGGTGAGATGTGTGAAAGGGAAGAGACAAAAGAGAGACCGAGTGGCAGATAGGTGGGTAGTGTTTGGACTCTTTTCCAATTGCACCCATATTTGTCCAATTAAAAAGAGTAATTTGGGAAAACTAAAAAACATGGCCTATTTTTTTTAATTGCACCGTAAAAATTTTAACAATTGCGCAACGCATGCATACATTATGACGTCGCGTTATTGGTTTTTGCGCAACGATCCATTGTGGCATCGCACAAGTTATATTTAAAAAAAATTATTATAAAATTTATTAAAAATGTGTACTCCCTTCAAATTCTTTTTTTTTTTTAACATAAAACTCACAATAATATATTTTTCTAACAAAAACTCGATTCAAACTATAATAATAAATTTAAAGCTACTTAATAAATATATATATACCATTCAATTTTTTAAGTGTTATACGTACAGAATAAATAAATTTAAAGCTACTTAATATATATATATATATATTATTCAACTTGATGGGATAAGCTTTCTACAGAACTAGTTTCAACGATCCAACTGTCAAACTTGTTTGTATATACTTCGAGATCGCATTCGCAAAAAATAAACATTCAGAGATCAAGTAACGGGACAAAAAATTTCGACGGTTATAAACGAAAAATCACGATTTAATTGTTATTTTAACTCCGATTTTGATGATTTTTTTACAGCTACACTCTTTGACCCTTTATGAATACAATGAATGAACTCGATCTTCAATTTAACATATTTACACTAGTGGATACCACAAAATCTTATGTTATACTTAATGAAAGTATAAATAAACTCTTAAGTGTTTGTTGAATCTATTGTTTTGATGAGATATGCATTCTATGAAACTATTTTCAACAATCCAACAATCAAATTCGTTTGTATATACTTCGAGATCACATACGCCAAAAATCGCAAAACAAAAAAAAGCATTCAGAGATTAAGTAATGAGACAAAACTTTTCAACAGTTATAAATGAAAAATCACGATTTAACAGTTATTTTAACTTGAATTTTGATGATTGTTTACAGCTACACTCCTTGACTCTATATGAATACAATGAATAAACTCAATCTTCAATTTAAAATATTTACACTAGTGGATACCACAAAATCTTATGTTATACTTAATGAAAGTATAAATAAACTCTTAAGTGTTTGTTGAATCTATTGTTTGGATGTGATACGCATTCTACAAAACTAGTTTCAACGATCCAACCTTCAAACTTATTTATATATACTTCGAGATCAAATACGCCAAAAATCGTAAAAAAATAAACATTAAGAGATCAAGTAAAGGGACAAAACTTTCGACGGTTATAAATGAAAAATCACAATTTAACGGTTGTTTTAGCTCTGATTTTGATGATTTTTTACAGCTACACTCCTTGACCCTATATGAATACAATGAATGAACTCTATCTTTAATTTAAAATATTTACACTAGTGGATACAACAAAATCTTATGTTATACATAATGAAAGTATAAATAAACTCCAAGTGTTTTTTGAATTTATTGTTTTGACAGTATTGCATATATTGTTTAGTGCGAAACATTACTGCTTCCAGAAAATTGCACGACGAAACAACCACGTATCGCAAAGGCTCTTTGCGCAACGGAGATTTATAACATCACGCAAACGGTGGTTGCGCGTCACACTTGTCTATTGCGCAAAAACCCTTTGCGCAAAGCGGTTACTTTATCGTACAAACACCCTTTGCGTGACGCATTGGTCGGTACATCATGCAAAAACCATTTTTGAGACACATTCGGTCCGTCGCGCAATTTTCTGGTGCCAAATTAAAATTTACCGCAATTTTCTGTCACAATAATATATTTCTAACAAAAACCCGATCCGAACTACAATTATAAGTTTAAGGCTACTTAATAAATATATATACCATTCAATCTCTTAAGTGTTATATGTACAAAATAAATAAATTAAAAGCTACTTAATAAATATATATACCATTCAATTTTACAAGTTTATATTAATCCTAATCCGAACTACAATAATAACTATCGCTATCCTCACTACTATCATTTTCGGATTCCCATCCATCCTCATCTTTGTTTGCCTCTTCTGGTGCATTGTATCACGGCAGATCACCAAGGTCAATTGAAGTTGACTCTATTGTATCGTGCATAACTGTTTAGCACAATGAAGGTGCACCTTCGTTGCGCAATGTTGGAAAAAAAGCGGTAAAACCCTTGGTTTGGTGCAAGAAAATTTCACGATGGACCACCTGCGTCACACAAATAGTCTTTGCACAATGGTGAACGAAAACATCGCGCAAAGGCTATTTGCACGACGTGGTTGGTCTGTCGCACAATTTTCTAGCACCAAACCAAGGGTTTTACCACTTTTTTCCCAACATTGTGTACAACTTCGTTGAACTAAACCATTTTGTGCGACGGAATGCTTCATTGCTCAAAGTCTCGTGGTGCAAAAAGGTTTTGCATGACGGAATGCGTCGTCACACAAAATGTCCTGGTGTGACGCTTAATTGTCAATGTTGCGTAAAATGTCCTTGCGGAACGTAATTTGCTCCATCGCACAAGTTTTCATTGCTCAAATGTGTTTTTGTACTAGTGTTTTCTGTGTTTGGCCAATGCAACTATGTATAGTCAATATTTATTATATTTGATTTCGTTTTTTTCTTGCATGTTTAATTCAAATTCATAAAATTGTATGCAATTTCAAGCGCAAAGCACAGGAGATTAATTTTGAATTACTATTTTTCATTGGAAATTTTAGTTGTGTTGGATACATGTTCTTAACGGCAACAGCAATGGCCTAACACTAGAATCCTCCAAAGATTTTTCGTGTTTGTATGTGTCATGTTATTCAGTTATTGTGTGTGTCTTTTGCTGAATTAGTTTTCAACATAATGCTAGGATATTAAACAACCCTCAATTGGCTAGGTGTATATCCCGGTGTAATACAAAAAATAAAACAACTTTTCTTGTAGGAGAAAAAGATATAATTACACCACCTTGCTCGTGATTTTGAAGTTTTGTCGGATAAATTTCTCTAAAGTTTGGAAACTCAAAAATGAATTTCAGTCCTAAATTTCAGAATTCTCACATATATCTCTTTCAGTTTTCTAAAATTTCAAATCTTAGAAATTTAGCAAAGTTGTCAAATCAACCCATTGGGTTATTCATAGGCACCCCTTAAGACTATTTTAATTTGATATCATCATATTATAAAGGTGAGATTGATAGTAATGATGATGGTGTGAAGTGAAACCAAATTACCCATTAACAACCCAATCGAAGCACCATTCTGGGAGGAAGAGATCGGAAACCACGTGCCTTATAAGCGACTTTTCTGGGAAAATGTTATGGTCGTTTGCTTCAATGAGGGTACATACGTATTTTATGTGAATACCAAGTGATATTAAAGCTGTATCTTGCTTGTTTTGTTTGCTTATCAAGTTATCACTTGACAAACAATGGCCTGATAAAGATTAGCGCATGAATAGAGGGAGACTTTTGACTGGGCGCCACTTTTTATTGCTTCTGATCTGAATTAATGCATCTTTGTATATGCTGCTTATGCTGATGTTTTTCCATAAATATCTATAAAACAAATTATTATTTCAAAGATAATAGAGTCTTTACTACTCCAAAGTTTGGTTAAGTAAGTTGGCAGTTATGAAAATTGGATGTAATTTTGATAAAAACTTAAATTTTGCGATTGAGGAAGTATAAGTATTTTGGGATTGATAGGATTGAAAAGATTTTCTCTCCCTTCTTATTAGTTGAATTTTTTTTTTTTTTTAGTCAAATATAAGCTAGGTTATGACAATAAGAAATAAGCATAGAACCTCAAAAACTAATAGAAAACTAGGGAGATTTAAATGAAAGGTGCCTTGTCATTTAATACTTGTAAGTGAGAGGTTTTAAGTTTAATTCTCGCCAAAAATGAAGTTGAACCAGACTCATTGTAAGGTTTAGCCAACTCTCCCAATTCCTTAGTTTATATCCTATCGTTTGTTTAAAAAAAAAAAAAAATGAAAGATGTCTCAGTTTTATGACATTGGTTAGGGATGTGGGCGGGGTAAATTACTTTTGAAATTATATACATAAACACTAAAATTAAATCACATATTAGCTGACAATATGTTGTATAGAAAGGAAATAACAAAACCACATGCATGGACACCATAGGGATTCCATATTATAACAATCCATATGATATTCAAGTAGCAAACTTTACAGTTGTCTCCATATGTGGACTGTAATTAGCAATACATCTCTAAAAACAAAAAATATGTAAATATATAATATAAAAATTATTGATTTAAAGTCTGAGCTCGTAAAATAAGTTCTTAAATAAAGTTATGACATCGATTATTACATTCAGAAAAAGCACTCGAGGACAGTATAATTGATAAGAAAAGAAAACTATATATATACGTGTATATAATTAATTGAGAACCACCAATTTGGTTTTTATTTATTTATTTATTTTTATTGTGGTTTTTATTGCATAATCAAATCAAATTACGAACCTCAGGAGTATTAACGAATCACCTTAATCACGCATAATTGCAAAGACCATATACACAGTACTGCCCAAACTTGCAGGGACTGTTGCACTGGCCACAATGCCTCTTGTCATAATTCGTGTTCACGCACTCTCCTCTACAGCACGATTCAGTGTACTTGCACTTCTTCTTGCATGCACCACAGTTGTTCTTGTCCTCGGACAAGTCCAGGCACTTGTTGTTGCAACACGTCGAGTTCTTATATCCCGGCGGCGTGTAGGCACATACCTCATTGTCTTTGTGGCAATGGTCAGCTGCTCTAGGGTTTCTGTCAACCAGATCATTTTCAGCTAGGAAACGACTCACCCTCTTGGAAGGTAGTAGCAAGGTGTTTTCATCGACCTCCGGTTGCTGTTTCCACGAGTCGGTGAAAGGGGTTTTTCCTTCTTGCTCTTCTTCTCCATAACCGACCCTTTTCACGGTCATGAGAGTGATAGACAAAGCCATGGTTGTTGCTATGACCAATATTATCTTGATGACCTCCATGGCTTTGTCTCTTTCTTTTTGTTTGTGTGTTTTTTGGGTTGGGGGGGGGGGGGTGGAATTGTAGTTTCTGAGTTGTGTTTGATTTGATGGTGGGTTGGAAGACTTAGGGCTTATAGTACCTAGCCAGGGAGGGGTTGACGCGGGAAAGGTGGAAAAAGCTTGTGGTTATGCCATCCAAAGAGTGTGGTCGAATTCTAGGCTCTAGGGCATAGTATATTAGTATTACTTCTTAAAAACTTAAATGATTTGGGCACTCAAACCATCCACATTCCAACCGCACTCTTCATCTTGAAGGACCACGTTGCATGCAAAATTAAATGCATGCATTAGGCAATGTACTTACGTATTTTGTATTTGATCGTACTTAATATTAATGTGATAGATGATCAGTGTTTTATTCAGAATTGAACTGTAACCAGTGAATCTATATATATGCCGCATAACAAAAGTTTTTCGTTCAAGTTAGTGCGGTTCAAGGTTATTATGGGACCATAAAATATTTTGATCATGGAAACACGCCACGCATACAACTTATCAGATATGTACTTAGCCCTTGATGAAATATCCAGAAAGTTAGTCAAACCCTGGCTAGTCCCCGGCCCAATTCATCGCAAACGGTCTAAGTCGATCGTCACACGACCTGCTCTTACCTTGATATATAATGAGTTTGCCTATCAGTCTCTTAACATGGTAAGATTCTCCGAAGCATATTTTAGGAATCTCATAAGAATATTCCTTCATCGATATGCAAACTAGGTAACACTCTGCTAACAAGTTTAACAAACCTGGATGCTAGAATTAACTCCTTAATCCTCTATACATAACCAAGATCAACCATTTTATTTCAGTAATCAAGAATCGCACAACTCATTACTTCTTACACTCTTTTTAACTTAGCCATCAGAAACTAGTCTTAGTTTGCTGCTTTTCATGTGTGTAAATTTCGTCAATTCAACTTGCTCCCGCAGATGATGTCGGTCTATGCTCTAGCATTTCTTTTTCACTTATATCTCTAGTTGTGATCACACTGCGAATGCCACACCCCCATGAAAGTCAAAGGGCGGCTATGAAAATTCACTAATGTGCGGCCACAAGTGAGCCGACATGAAGAAATTTAGGCATGCTGTGAGGGGAAGCAAAGGAGATAGGCCATTAATGAAATGTTATAACACAACGAAGCAATAGAGGTCGTCTAAGTGTTATGCTGTGACGTGTCCTTTCGAACTATAACTTTAGCTCTAAGAACGTCTGCGTACATGTACAGCTTATTATTATTAATTATTAATCAAAAAATTAAACATGTGTTAATGCAAATGCAATTATTCAAGTTAATTAGCTCTCAAGGCTTAATATTTCTACCCGCGTTTATTGTGTAATACGTCATTATAATGCAGAGGCGTACCAAATCAATGACCACCAAATACGTCTTATGGTTTGCCATAATTTTTTTCATATACTGTATTGTTTGCCTGTTTTAAAATCTTGTGTTGTAATTGTTGTCAACGAGTTCATCGTGGTTGTTTGAGTTATTCATGAATCTATTCTGGTTTACAAGGAAGAATTGTGTAATATTTCTAGCTAGTAGCTGGATGGCTTGCTGGCAAAGCGATCGGCTGAGAAAGAGGAGAGTAACTTGAATGGAATATGTTCACCGTTATGTATCATCATGATTCAATACTGTAATGTCATATGATAGAGACTTATATATGATATTTTGTTATTGGACTGAGATGTCATAATGACAATAAATTTGTTGCATGCATATGTAAGTCATTTTCGAGGAATAGACAAGCTCCAACTAATACCATTTTCTAACACTACAAAACTAACCTAGGGAGCTACTTGTTTAGTGCAATCAAATTCTTTAATATCTTCAAGTCTCAAAATTGTTATGTGTTCGATGTCTTTTAATTTTCCCATCTCTGTAATTGTAGGTTTTTGTCATGTTAAAATATGTTTTTGTCTTGCCACAAAAAATAAAATATGTTTTGTCTTGAGCAGTTATACATATATTCATAGAAAACCAACTATTCAAATGGGTGGCTTAAGAAAATAGACAGTTCAGATCATTGTATGCAGTATAAGAAGTAGAGTCGAGAAGGTGGAACAAAAAGATCCAAATAAGAAGGTTCTTAGCACTCCCCTCAATATTGACAATATTTATGTTTTTAAATTATTAGTTTCAATAAGAAGTTTAGTCCAAACAACAAAACTAAAAAGCTTTCTTTTTATATACAATGATATATTTACATTAAGGGTGTGAGAAATAAATTGGTATCAAACTCATCATTTACGAAATTTGAACCTAAAACCTTTCACTGACAAATAAAGAAGAATATCACTATATCATAATACTAATTAACAATTAAAAAGCTTTCTTTGATTAACCAAGTGACCTGAGTTTCTTTGATTAACCAAGTGACCTGAGCATTGCATATTGTCATACTTCCTCGATTCTTTTTCTGATCAAAGGAGAAATTTGAACTTCGTACTTTTCTTTTTATTTTCTTACTTTTACTCTCATCTCTTTATATTTCTCGCTATCTTCCCTTACAATTACAACACCCAACCCTATCTTTTTCACCCTCTAACCCCAGCTTCTTGCTGGCAAAAACATAAACAAAAAGAAAAAGACTTCATAAATGTTGCAGATGATCTGTATATATCTCTATATAACATGTATGCATATATGTGGTTATCTATTAACTTAGAGTGGAAATTAGGCCGTGTTCGAGTTTTCTACTAATATCAATAATAGAATAACATCAATAATATAATATTTCAAAAATTATATTAACGTATTGTATTTCTCACACAAATTTCGGTTGAACTATAGCCATCTTATGGTCATGGTTACTTGCATTGTCTTTTTCGATCAACATATGCATACATACACACACACACACACACACATATATATATATATATATATATATAGCATAAAATAATTATCTATATATATGTGCATCTCAGTTCTGTAGAAGAGGAATATTCAGAGTCAATTCGTTTTGCACATTGCACCACTTAATCTTGTTAAGTTAATTCCAACGATTTGAAGGTCAAGATCCATCTCCTTTTAGACAGGGATGATATAATACACCTAAAATCTTGATTAATCGCCTCATAATTCACAAATATATATATATATATATATATATATATTATCATCATCATCTGTGACTGTGAGAGGAACAAATCCCATCTACTTGTGCTACATTGTTGGTTAATCAATCAGTTTATGAATCTGCTTTAGGAAAATATGTTTCTTGAATTTCAACAAATTAATTAAACTGTTGTGGAAGCAAAATCCAAAACCATACGAATCACGCACACACGTATTTATTGCATTATTCAGCATGAATTACACATTCGAATTCTATGTACCTATGTGATGCTGCATCACATTAAAAAAGATCAAGAAAACAGTATTATATACCTTTTTCTAAATACGATATCAACAAATATATAAAACGATTTTTACACAATATACTAATCTAATCGTGTTTACCTTTTGTAAGGGATGTGGTTTTTACACACCATTTTTAGTTTCTCAAACAATCCTCTTTATTTTTAGTCATTAGATAGAATCAATCAAACGAAAAAGAATGACAAGATTAAGTAGGGGTGAGTAAGAAGTTAAAAATAATAATGTGTATTTATCATTTTACTTTTGTCATAATAAGGAAGAAGGTCAACAATATCTTTCTATTAACTATAATTTTAGTCTGAAGAATAACTACAGGGCCTAGTCCAACTACTACCTCGTCTAATTATATACACTAAGAGAGGAGGGTGGATTTAGCCTCATAATGCGCTAGCAACAATAATATGATTTAAATTCGTTTTTGGTAAGAATCAAAACTAAAACCTCGCACTTACAAGTGCACAAACATTTCTTAAGAAACAGTTGTTAGTGTCACTAGAGTTCAACTAATTTAATCATTTTTAGTGTCACTAGACTTCAACTGATTTATAAAAATGTCACCCCTCTCTTTTTGTGTTTATGTTTAAAAAAAATTGTTAAATATTTTATACTAGGAAAAGTTATGAGGCCCTTTTCATAACATTTTTTTAATAAAAAAAATCCTACTATTTCACTGGACCAAGTCGTATGATGGAGGAACTAAACGACATGACGTTCTTCTCTTGTTACGGCCATTTTCCTGAGAAAACGACTTCTGGGAAAAAACGGCCAAACGGCCGTCGCAAGATACCATCTTCCTCCAAAGACAAGGAAGCGGCCTACTGTGCTGTCGATGCTTGAGCATGGAGTTCAGACCTCGCAACTACATCGCCGAAAAAGGAGCCCACGCGCTTCCTCGCGTACTCGCCGACAGCCACCCTTTCTCCGCTCCATCTTCTCCATCTCAGCTCCAGGTCCAAATCACACCCATCTCACTCTCGATTTTTTGTAATTTAATTGCCCTTGACTCTGCGCATCTGTTTGGTTGCAAGGATAGAGTAGGACATTCAAATCACCAATATTTCTTGATCAGGATACTAATCCGGTGTGCTAAATTTGAGCTATCGTATGCTATAATTCCATGTCGAATTATAGTTAATCAGAGTACTAATATGGTTAGAAGCCTATAATTACAATAAATGGAGCAAAATTTTAAGTTAAATACAGTAATTGTGTTGGAATATTTGACGAATGCCAAATGGAAGGACAAACATTTGGTGGCTAGGAAAGGAGTGGATCTCTTTGCTTCGTTGTAGTTCGCTTGTTCGTTTGGTACCTTGTAACGAAAACATGTGGGATTAAAGAGGAAACAAATAGCATCAGATTAAGAAACTCGAATGCTAATGGTGTATGTATTGGCTGTTTGGTGTTTTGATCATGAAAATTTTGGAATTTACAAAGTTCAGCATCTTAATATAGGTTGAGGTCGTGGATGAAGGGAATGAGGAGTACTTTGACCCCCTCAGAAGGTCAGATAACAATGCCGAAGCTTCTAGAGAGGATTTGGTGGAAATTGAAACCAGTTCTACTGCAGGACTCTCTGGTGAAGCTTCTATTCAAAATCCGTCTAAAGAATGGTCCTTTTTTAAGAGATCCCTGATGCAGAGGTTTCCAGTCTCCAAAACAGTTTTGACTTATTCAGTAAGCATTTCACGCTTCTTGATTTTATTAGTTCCCCATGCTGTTTTATATTCAAAAGTATGCAATCTTCCGCGGCTTCATTTCGTCTTAAGTAATTGTCAAGCTAGCGAGCATGTTCGGTCGTATCTTAGATGGTGGAGCCCATTTGTGACATCAGTTTCGTTTCTGTGTATTTTGTAATGGCATAGAGTTCGATGTCTGGGTTCCTAGAAGAATTCTTTTTCAATTGTTGCTAGCTATTTTTCAAAAACACAACCATTAAGCATCTTAGCTGGTGGGGCTTGTGTTCTAACCTCACTTTCACATTCTGTATATTTTCTATATTGAAATAGAGTTTGAATTTTGCATTTCCTGGATGAATGTTACTCCAATTATTGTTGGCTAGTTTCGAAACCATTAAGTATGATATGGGTATTCAGAATGTTCTTATCATATATCGGTTTCTATAACCGTTTTCCTTTCTTAGGTTTTCAAGGGGAAATTTTGGTTTTCCCTACCTTCTATTCTCATTCAGCTATTTACTTCCTTAAGTTTCTCACTGAAAGCTGTAACCTATCTTCTAACTTTTTATTTTCCTTTTTCTTTTTACTTACAGATGTCCGACATGATAGGGAAAGGCAGGAAAAGTATGTCAGCCTCCTTTGTTCCTATAATTTTTTGGAACAAGTATTCTTTTCGCAAGTATTTTTGTTGCTCAACTAGAGCAGCTATGATAATCACTTTGATTTGTTTTACTGATATGAATTTACAGCACATGAGAAATCTTTGACAAGTATGCATTTGGAGGAATTGGAAGATCCAGAAAAATTTGCAGAAGAGGGGGGCAAGGTCATCACGGGCCAGGAATATGTTTCTCGGTTGCATGAGCTTAAAGCTGAATTAACTCATGCATGGCATGCCGATGATCGTGTTACATCCCTGAAATTATCAATAAAAGTAAATTTTAATTGATAATTCAGTTTACCCAATTAATCTTACCTTGAGAGAATTTGTCATAGAAGAAAACATTAAGCAGCTGAGCTTTTAAATAGTTAGCTATGTGTGTTGATAGCCAGAACACTTCCATTTATTTTTGGTAGCCTGATATCGTATGTGCTGATAGCCTGAAGAATTTGTGGTAGAAGAAAAGATTAAGTAGTTAAGATTAAATAGCCTGAAGATTTCCATTTATTTGGCATACAACACTAGGTTTTTGTTGTGCCCTCATATGTAAGAAATCATTTTTGTTTTATAGTTTTGAAAGGTCATTGGATTACCAGTTCGTGTTAATTATTATTTTCTCTGAGAATTAAGCCATTCAGAGGTTAAATGAGCTATGCATGCTTATAACTTAGCTTGAAGATTTCCATTCATATACACAATATAACTAGTTTTTTCTTTTCCACTTTTTTTAAGAATCTGGGTTGTCTTTTCTCTCCCTAAAAATACAAAATTAGTTTGATTGGCCCTTAGATCATATTACGAGTTGCTGCAACTTCATATCAGTGGGAGAAATAGGTTTGGGAGTGTATGTAATGCTGGTCTGTGTGGATGCGATTAAATTTTAAAAGCAATTTCTTTTTACAGGTTGCTAGGCTTTTGATGGATACATCTGTTTTACAATGTTATCCTACACTCTTTGCTATTGCTACGGATATTTTGGATATTCTTGGGGATATGGTATGGGAGCGAATCAAGTTGAAAGCTGAATTTACCGAAGATGGTACCAGAATCTTCTCCTTACCAGGTATCACTGACATTTCTCCCTCGGCATCATTTGTTTTTTTTACTAAGCAATACTCTTTAAGTTATTCGTAGAATATGTCTATGTATCACATACTTGATATATGGTCTGTAAAGATCAGTTTATGCATTTTGACATGGTTGAAAGTGAAACTTAACTTCCTTGGTCATTTTGCAAAAAGCAGAGCTATCTGGTTGTCAGTTGTTAGATACTTGTAACTTTAGGAAAGCCTGAGAAGGAAACAATTTATTACTAATGCCGTTGGGAACTTGCAAATATATCTGCAATTCTTCATTACGTAGTGTTTTTAATTTAATGAACTTCAATAAGTTTGGAATGGTTGTGTCATTTTTAATGTATCAGTTTTTTTATTTTTTATTTTTTATGAAATTTGAATGGATTTATGGCAGAGAACTTTTCAGCAAGTGACATCTGCTTTGATGCCAAAGAAACTTGCAACAACTGGTTCTGCAAAATTGGTGCGGTCCGAGAACTTCTTCCACGCATGTAAGTTCTTGCTCATTATGTTTATGATCCTTTGTTCATTCTTCATCATCATCATCTTCTTCTTCTCCTTCTTCCTCCATGTCACTTTCTCCTAAAAAGTTGATGTAGCACTAAGTAGCCTTACTTTTTGTCTAATGATGATGTAATCTTTCATTGTTTTAATAAAATAATTGATGATGTATTAAAGAAATAGAGGAAAGTAAAAGGAGGACTAGACTTTCTTCTGGAGAAGACACAAGATGAGAAAGAAAAGTTTTGACCGATATTTACAGCTTAAAGCATTAGACCTTGAAAATAAAAACAAGAAATGACGTTCAAACAGTGCATTATAAGTTCTTCATGCATGTGCTTTCTACATGCAATAATTTTCTATTGCTTCTTCCCTCTTTCCCATCCCCTTTCTTCAAATATGGCATATTCTCTGGCTGTTAATTCGATATTGAATTTCAGTTATTTGGAGCTGGCATTGTTGCCTTGTTGGCGTTTCTTAGTTGATCAACCTCTCAACAGTCTCCGTCGCTTGTTAATGATGACAAGAGGGTTAGGAGATCCATTGGCTTCGGCCTATTGCCGTCTGTATATGGCTCATTGCATGAGGAAGTTGCCTTCACATGATACAGGTATACATTTTCTGTACTAATAATAAGTGATGGATTTGATTCAAATTTGATGATAAGTAATTGCCAGAATACATGCTCATCTCACAAGACATGTGGCCTCTTATATGCTTATTCTCATTTATTCCAATCATCACTATAATGAAATTGCAAGTAGGATGACATGTCTTGAAGTGAAAATCTAATGTATAGTAAAGTGCAGAGATTATGGTGGAATGTAAACTGTGTCAATATTGAGTTCGACATAGTTCCTTTTAAAACAAAGATATATTTAGGTGTTGGCTGTTTCTCAAATCATTTATCCTTATTGGATTGAGCTTGTAGCAATAGTGATTAAGAGTGCTAGTAATAGCCTTATATATAAATATTTTACAGTCTCATGTTTGATGACTATGTTACAGGATGTCTGCTCACCTGTGTGAATGACTTGAAAATTGTGTCGATGAGGGTCATGTCAGCACAGGAAACCTCTCATGGAGCTGAAAACAGAAGATTGGTTGTTAGTCTGATGGAACCAACCATTGAGTATATCATGAAATGCATATTTAGGGATGCGTCTGAGGTATATATTGTAATTTCTTGTAGCAATCATAATTGTCTTCGGCACTGTGTATCGACATTTTAAATTCCATTGCCCTGGATATATCTAGTTGTGAAAATATGGGAAGCAACCTTATGTATTGATAGAGCATATTGCTGTTTTATTTAACGAGCATTTGATATTTTGTTATGAATTTTATAGTAATTATAAAGCAGAACATAGATATTATTCCATTTGAACTATGTTGGATTTTGTTGGGAGTCACCTATTCATTGTGGACACTCCAAATCCTTCATTTCATTTCTAATAGTCGTAGAGAATGCTGTTGAATCTTTCAAAACATGAATAGCTGGATAGAGATGAATAGGTAGTTGAATCTATCACATCATGAATAGCTGGTGTGACATGAATTCGTAGACTTTATACTATGATGATGTAACAATACTTTTAATCTGTTCAAAACTTGAAAGAAACAAGTAGGTGATGTACTCGTTGAGCTTGGAGTTGGGTTGAATCAAAAGGAGTTGCTTGGAAGGTTCCCATGTGTCTCGATCGTTCTTCATCATCTACTCAAGCAACTTCCATCTGAAGTAGTTAGCTCAAGGGCAGTGGAGATCCTTCAGCTTATTGAGTGCAGCAGGGATGATTCCCTTGATCAGGTATTGTTCATAAGAAAGTGGTCAAGTCATAAGCTTTGTTATGTACAGAACATGAAATTTTGTTATCAGCTTCATTCATTGATGTGACTGCCTCCTTAGGATGTGGTGGGTTAACCTCAATGTTAGTTTCAAATTTATCGATGAGAAAGTCTTCAGTGCACAACTCTTAAATCTCTTCTCTCTTGGTTTGGTTTTTGGTTGGGAAAGTGCTTGAATTACAGGTTACTTGGATTTAGGCTGTGTGAAAAATCTCAAATGGACACTGTCAATGCTGTAGTGGACAAAATCATTGAGGTATTTAGAGAGATCTGTTTAGCTGCTTAACTTTAACATTTCATTGGTGTTTACTTCTTCTTCTTCTTCCCTTTTCTTTTATTTTTCATTTCAAAGTGCTTCATTTCTAAAGAATCCTATTGAGATTTCTCATTTAAACCTAATTTATGGTTTTTATGAATCAGGTTATTATTGAATATGATGGACTTGATGACTACTTGAAGGTTGTGGATGCTTTTGTGGATATTGTTCTACAAAATCATATGGTGCGTCTTAGCATATTTGCATATTTATTAAATGAAAAGAAAGTTCCTGTTTGTGACATCATTCCAGTTGACTGACTTTCATCCAAAACCTCTAACAAAAAATAATGGAAACTCCCCATAAAAACAATTAGCAACTCTTATAAATAACATTCTTTCAACCTTAAGTTTCATAACAAGTGAATCACTTGTTTTGGTGATTACAACTGACAAAACAAGTGACATGCCTGGTAAATGATTTTGTTGCTGTATTATTTTTGTTGATTGTTGATTGTTTCCATTGAAGTTGATATGACTTTCCTGTGCTGGAGAATCACTTATCCTAAATGTTTAAACTTTTAGGAAGTAAGCTTATGAACATGTTAGGTTTAAAACCTATTAAGATCCATACCTATGTGTGGGCGTGCCCAACATGTGAGCTTTCCATGTTAAACATGAATATACAAGAAGAGACATCAAGATTTGAGTAAAGGCCTTGGACAGTTGAGATCCGATACCTAGCTGGAGAATTGTCCTAAAAGCTTAAATTGCAAGGAAGTGGATAAACAATGTATATCAACTTAAAATGTACTAACTTGCATCACTTTAGGACTTGTGCAGGTGAAGTAAAACTGAAACTAACACTTTGTTATATCATATTGTCCTAGTACCCGTGCAATGCCTTGCACAATTTAAACAATAATGCCGAATGTAGTTTGTACCTCACTTGAATAGTAACGGACTTTCTCCTTGTTGACTATGAAGATTAAAGTAGGAGAGCATGTGATGAAGAGTTTCTGTTTCATCTGTATGTATTAAAGCGTATTAGATAAGACAAATGCTGCTTGCTACTTGGACACTTACGGTTAAACAGTATCGAGGAGTCGCCCCACATTTAGTTATACTCTGTTGCCATTTAATGGGAAAGATGGCGTACCTTAGCTGAGTTAAATTGAAATGTCTCCAGTCTGTTTTTGTGGGACTTCTCTTCAATGTTATTTTATAAGATATTTCTTGTAACTATAATACCTGCTGTTTATTAACTTCATGTTCAGTGATGCATGCGAACTTGTGTATATACACATTAGTATCTTCATGCCGGTTCAGTTTTCTTCCTCTGACTTTTTTGATTTTTTGCCAGGATGACCATCTAAGCTCCATTTTAGAAGGCATTTCAAAACGAGCATGCACTAAAGGTTTTGCTGATGATGACCTGGCAACCTTGCAGTCCATTTTGGTGAAGCTTCTTTCATATTGCAAGGACATAGAAGACATATTTTCCATGGTATGCTTCTCCTTGTACTTGTGCAACAAGCCCTTTTTTTTCCTGTTTGTACTGCAGTGTTAGTTTTAACATAATGGTCTCTAGGTTTTATTTTTACGGTTGCGTTGTTTAAAACCATAACATCTTATTTCACTACTATGGGCAGTTACCTGTGTTTGTTATTTTGTAGAATCATTTTCTCAAGATCTTGGATCTGATGTATGGAAATTCGCGAAGCATCGTCAATATCCATATCCTTGATATGGGGATAAGGTGCCATTTTAGTTAATCTATATTCAGTATCTACTTCATCAAGTTAGTGCCTCACTTCGGTGTTATTGTTCCTTTTGAAAGACAAATATACTCTCAATTTCAGAACTTTTTGAAACCAGTCAAATTAGAGTACGGCCTTCCTGATGGTGAACGTTTTCAGCTGCCTTCATGCTATTTCATAATATTTATGTAGAAATGTTTTGATGAATTTGGAAACATGGAAGCTGGATACATGTCTCGGAATACTGGTCTAGAAACCCAAAGCGTCGTATTCTAAAATATGAATGCTAAGATCTTCCTAGGTTCCTTACAGTGTCTGTCTTGTGATTCCTCTCTTCTTACTAATATATCAATGGTGTGTGAATCGCTCCTTCAATTTCCTTGGGTAATTTAACATTTGCTTATTCATTTGGCAGGAAGGGTTGTATACGTGATCCAAGAACTATACAGTTTCTTCTTGAAATTTCTCAGGCTCTGCATCACGACGAAAATTTTGTGAATCTAAAAGATGATAACCAACCAGGACGTTTGATTTCTCAGTTTGTATCTCTGGTAAAATTAATATTTATCTACATATTAAAATGTTGGGACTGTTTATGGTGGCAAACTGGCAATCCTTCTGGCTATCTGACCTTTATTGCTGCTCTGCATTGTCAGGTTGATTATGGAGCAGAGATTGAGAGTCAGTTGGCATTCTTAGTTGAATGTCGTGGAACTTTTGGTAGCATACGCGGGCTTAAGGTTAAATCTCGATGACTCCAATTTCTTTTAATCATACTGATAATTTGTTCTATGCAATTGCATTGAACTTTCTAATGATAACTTTTGCTTAAAAGATGCAATGATTGGACTCTCTTTAAAACAACGTGGATTGTTTTCCAGAAGAGAATTCCCATAGTAGCAAATATTGTACTTCCATTTATAACTATATATTCCTTGCATACTTAAAACTTAAATTCACTTTCAGGAAACTCTCATTCACTCCAGTAATTGTTTAGCGATTAAGGCTTTGAAAGATGAGAAACATCTCAGTTTTGTCAAATCCTGCATAGCATTTTCTGAAGTCACTTTACCTTCTATTGCAAGCCAGATTAGGCAGTTAAATCTTTATCTTGAGACCGCAGAGGTAATGTTCTGTTTTAGTGTGGTCGTGTTGCACATCAATTAACCATATATTTTTACTCATTCCTGTATAAATAGTTCAGGTCGCTCTACTGGGTGGCTTAGTTTCTCATTCGGATGGATTGATTGATTCCGCGATCAACTCTTTGCCAAGTTTAGACATAATGGATGGTTAGTTCATGCCTCTCTCTCAGAGTGAAATCATCATATGACTAAGTATTAGCATCATGCCATCATCCTAGATGTTTTTTTTTTTTTTTTATATATTATGAGTGAAATTTGATTTGATTTTCTTTCATAATAATGGAATTTTCTTTTCTTTTCTTTACTTTTCTCTTTAAATGGGACTTGATATAGGAACAAAATTTATGTAATATTCATCAATTAAAAAGAAAGGTTCGCAAGCCTTATATAGAATTCTAGTAGGGACTTACATGAACCCTAGACATTAAGCGACTCTTGGCTCCGCAATAAGGCACATATAACAGCAGCTAGTATTGATTGGATGTGTGCAAACCAATTATGCAAGACTCCAAGTATGCCCCAACATCATCCAGCGTATTTTAAATTGGGGCTTCAGCCTTATACCTTCTTACCATGCTTTTGATAAACTTTTAAAGGGTTGCTGCCAGTTAGCTCCTCCATCAACCACACATTCAGTCATGATTTCACGTAATCAAGGGTCTAGAGTGATATGCTAGAAAATAAAAAACAATATATAACTTTATTAAACTTTCGTTATTAATTGGCAATACAAACTTTTAGATTTACCCGTTTTCTCCAAAATTGAATTATAGTTTGGTAACAGAGCATCGCACCATTTTGGTTCCTACATACCCAACCTTCTCTCATCCAACCATACTAGTTTATCATTCTATTCTACAGCCATCATGTGCATGATCATTCTATTGTACCTATATTATACATACATATACTAGTTGTATTATTGGCATGACATCGATGTGCGATGCCCTCCAATGCCATTGATGGCATTGACTCTCACAATTGACAGCCCACATGGCATGCAGTATTCCATAATTGAAAGTCTCGTTGTGTGTATGTACTGTAGCTAATTTCGTTATAAAATTTAAGCTGCTCATAGTAGTATCTATAGATTTTGTTTTATGTAACATCTACGTAGCAAAGGAAACTTATTCCGTAGCAAATCAAAACACAAATGAACAAAGATTTCTTGTGTAGGCTCCAGACTACCAATTGATACTGATGCGGTACTCTCCTCAGTTCAAAAGTTATTCAGCTTCTTGGTTATGGTTCCAGGTTGTTACACTCTTTTCTTTTTCTTTTTGGTTCCTTTCCATCTTGTTGTAGTTTGTAGATCAGTAAACTATTGCATCTGTGTTTTTATTTTTCTTGGCCACTTTCTGAACATTATCCATTTGCTTTTTTGAGTTTCCCGAGTTATCCCCTCCCCAGTCAAATTATATTAAGAAAAAAAAGATTACCTATATTTTGTTTGACTTGTCTTTTCCAAGAAAAGGTAATCCTGAAGATGGAGTTACGTACTTTCCGAAGAACTTGGTGTTGCTACTTAACTCTCAGTCATGGTGAGTCTTCAATGACAACCTTAATATTGAGAACCTTGCATCAATTTATTTTTGAGTAATTCATAGATTTTTGTGTACTTCTCGTTTTGATGTTGTAAGATATTGTTATAGGATGACACCAAGAATGAGGGTGAAAGTTTTTTGTGCAATTATTTCTCTGTTAGCAGCACTTTCTCAACGAAATCTCCCTTATCATGCAGATAGTGGAAAGGTACACAGTTTGATTCTTTGTAGAAATTTGTAGTTCTCAAAAGTTTTCAATTGTCGAAGTTCTAAAAATTCATACATAAAATATTCAGAAATGGGCAGATATGCCTTGAATAAATGTGGGTGGGGGGAAGGGAGGGATGAAGGGAATGGTGCGTCGGCATACACTATCTTGTGCAGCGGTACTTTTTATATTGTTCTTGTATTTCATGTGAGATCCTGTCATCTTCTGCCTGCTAATATTCAGTTTTTATTTTTCTGGACGAAAAAATGTCATCAGCTTCTAGGAAATGACGTATTGTTCTTTGGTGATTCATCATATTTACATGAGCTTGCGTCATTTTGCGAGTTTGTTCTTCAGAACCTGGTTGATGCCATTCAACAAGAACCTTCCAAGGTAACAATAACTTTCAATGTGGGCTTCCCTTTTCCCCTTCCATATTGGTGATGCTGATATAAGGATGTGATTGATTAAAACTCAGGCTGCTCGCGGGAGCATGGCGCTTGAAGCTTGCAACTGCATTGCATCATCTTTGATTGTAAGTTCCTTGCCATCTGCTGAACTGACTGTATCGAACGCTCTACCATAATATGATCCCCTTTATAATACAGCTATTCAGGTGACAAGGCACATTAAACGCCTCATAACTGTATGAATATATGTGCAATGAAATGGTACTAGCGAGTGGAGTTGATGTTGTCATTTCCACTCCGAGTATGATCTGAGTATTACTGCTCATAGCCTAAAACTTAATTAAGATAACCAGCTGCTAAAAGCTATTGCTCAAAAGCTCCATGTCTTCTTGGAGACGATCTTTGTGGAATGCATCCTGCACATGATGATGCCGGGAGAGAGCATGGCTAACGCGATGCTGCTTAAGCAATGTTTATAAAATGACCTCCCCGTCCTTGATCACGGAACTAACTTTGATGTCTGCATATTTTGTTTTTTGGACAATATTTTCTCCACATATTATCTTAATTGCTTTTGTCTGCTCTGTTTGGCAGCTAAGTCAGGAAATATCATCAATTTGCTCGAATCTGATAGAGACCGGCAAGTCGTGTATGAGCACAAACAACAGATATCTGCAATCGACAATTAAATTTATGGATCACTTGCAAGATTCATCTGTTGCTTTGTGGTAAAATATTAACGTCTTCAGTTCGTTGCATCATCTTTTTGCGTTTTTCCTCTCCCTGTACATGTACAAACTTACAGCCAAAAGCCTGTACAATTGTAACATATGCTAACAGACACAAGCCAAAAGCATTTATCTTCGATTACGAATGTGGTTGCTCGTCTGGTTGCAGTTTGATTTTCGAATTCCGTATCTGTTGTAAATTTCTTGGTTCTTCATTGATAGAAATGCAGTTCAAACAATTCAATCAGCTTGGTAAAAGTTACACTAGTACTATTTTGGATTGTTGATAACAAAAGGAAACAAGGGTTGGGATTATTAGTCTATGTGATGATAGGATAGTTGGAAGATAGCTCCTATGATAAAAAATAAAAAATAAAAATTAGGATTAAACCTCTATGGTGAAATCTATTAGGATTTATGCTCAAAATTAAAAACTTGATCAACTCTTCGTTAATTATTAACGTCTAGGCTGGGCCACACATATTAGGCTAAAACATTTATAACGAGGGGTGTCTTGCTTCGTAAGTCAACTTACATTAGAAATACGGTAGGTTAAAAGATTAGTGTGAAAACCATTGAAATTAAATTAGTCATGCCACATGATTAAACACTAACTATAAATTCAAAGCTAAGTTCAACTTTCTAAACCAAACCTATCACCTCATGAATTAAAGGCTCGGTTGCTCATAATACTACTAAAACTTTATAAAAAAATAGCCATATAATTTTTCAAAAATCCATGCAATATCGTCTAGTTATCGAAGAAAATTTTAGAAACTATGTTGAGCGAAAAAAATAGGTGCAAATAGGAGCACTGCCGCACGAGATATACCAAAACCTCTTCCATGTTTCTTTCAGAGAAGAAAAATGAAAATTAATTAGTTTTAGACGGATATAGCACTGCCGTTGAACTTTTTGAACGCCAAAAAAATATCACTATACTTTAGCACTAGATAGGGGACAAAGAGAAACTTAACTGCAAGTAAAAGATGATACTGCAATATTCTACTAATCTCATCTACTAATTAACCTGTTAGGGATGTATAATAATAAACTGCTAACTTTAACTACTAATTATAGCCTAATGGGGACTATGCTATCAATCAGTGGCCCAGCTGTGTGTGTGTAGCTGCTGGTGCTGGTTCATTTTTTGCCGGAATCTTGTAGTGCAGGATTTAGGGTTAAGTCCACTACCTAAAGAGGTGAAAATCCTAAATATGCACAACCACTTTTGCTTCTGAATTCATAACACATTAAGTATTGAAAGAATAAGGAAATTACAAGAGAAAATGACGTACTTTCTTATCAAGAAGCCACACTTGCAGCCTCTATCAACTCATCTTCCTCATCAACAATCATCTCATCTCTAAAAAGCAGTTTCAAGTATGGAAGTACCTTTGGGGCCACAGGCAAATCAGCAATGTTAATACTCATCATGTCAAATCCAATGCATGTCTTATGCATGTGTGTATCATCAAGTACTGGGATTTTAGGATATCGCTGGCTGAAGTGAGTGAGGATGATACGATAAACTCCAGCAGAGTTCCCAACTTCTATGGCTTCCTTTGTTGTGCTATGGTTTCTTGCTACAGCCTCGTCCACCATGCCATCCTCAAAAGTTGCCTGCAAGAGTCAGAAGTGAAATTGATCAACTGCAATCCTCCTCCTTTTCAGTTCCACATTTTTTTGCTAATTGCACAAGTCTATTAATTACTCGGACAAAAAAAAAAAAAAAAAAAACACAATACGTCTTAACTTGCCTCATGAATTAGAACTGTTGCACCACGAGATGCGTCTATAAGTTCCGGACAGGGCCTAGTGTCACCTGAGTATACAACCTTCCAACCTGGAATCATTTTTCCAACACTATTCAATCTCTCTGAAGCTTGCAAGACAACACCAAATGCCTGCGGACAGTGGATGACAGGAAAACTAATCAAGGCTTCCAAACCAGTTTCATTGAGCACTTTTTGCAAGCTCTTTACAATTGGAACTACGCTGTTGTCAATAGGACTACCCGGCCTCTTCCAATAGCTCTGCATACGGGATCCTTTAGCAAATAGAGTGGAATCAACTCTCTCCGCTAATTGCCTCTCTGTATTTTTAATGCTCATGTCCTCAAAACGGGTTGGACTTGCTGGAGAAGAGTAGTCCCTATTGAGTTCAGTAACACCCTCAAAAGCAAGTAAAGACGCTTCTGTGGTGTGCTTACAATCAAGGAACTGCATATCTAAATCTTCGAGTCTCTGGTATGCATCCAAAAAGAACTTAAGCTTTCTCGGTCCAACAACAAGTAATGGCTCATGAGGCACCCCCTTCAACAAATCACGTCGTAGAGTAAGTATTCTTGCCAACCCGGTATGGTGATCAGCATGAATATGAGAAATCCATATACAGCTAAGACCTCTCACAGCATTATCAGCACCTTCTACACCATATCTGTTGTTGATGAACATAACACGTAATATCTTAAAGTGGGGAATGGATTTCAGTACTAGTAAATGTATTTCAAAATTTTCAAATGGTGTTACCTTCTTTTCAGCTGTCCCAGTGTTCCTTCACCGCAATCTAAAAGTAAACCTCCTTTGGAGAATAGATTGATATGGATAGAAGTGACATTGCGATACTTAGATGGCTGAGATGATCCAGTCCCTAAAAGAACTATCTCCAAGTCATCTCTCCTTATATTTTCCAAACAACTAGGAAGCGTATTCTCATTATACCATGGCTCTTCAACCAAAACTTCATTGTCTTTAGCTAAACTTATCTCTCCGTTTATTTCTGCAGACTGGTGCCAGAACCGACTAACACAATGGGCAGCGTCTACAACCTCTGGAATCTCTGAAATTAACTCATCAATGATGTCTGAGGAAGCCACTTGACTTGGAATAACGGACTTATCTAATCCAAGACGAGCAAATGGACGCAAAGTGAACTGTTCAACACACATGAAAATCACCATTATTAACATTTGTACATCAGTAAAGTGATTGCAGAACTTGCAATGCTCCAAAGAAAAAAAAAAAAAAAAAAAAAAAAAAGCAGTCATGCTAATGAGAACACACGTTCAGACATGCAGTAGAAACATAACCCTTCACTGCTGGACACCTTTATTAGCAGCTTGGAAAAGGAAAGAAAAATGAAAGGAGATATGATGCAATTAAAACAAGAGCTCTGTTAAACTATCAGAAGCAAATCACTATCCCCAGGTACCAAATTGCTTTCTGGACTGTTGGTTGTACAAGCAGCCAGTCATAATCCTTCTAAAACTTCTATAGTATTTATCAGATTAATCATATAAGCTTCTCCCATTTATATTAGAAACTTTAAAAAATAATAAATAAAAAGAATAACACTGAATCAAGGACAGAAGAAAAATTCTATTTCGAATGGAAATTTATGCAATAAAGCTTTGTGTTAAAGAAGAAAAACATTGTATCGATTAGGAAAGAAAGCAGGCACATAGGATCTAAGCCACAAAAGCCTACTTACTAGATGCATCCAAGTAAATCAACCATTTATACCTTGAGGAGGTTTTCAGCGGAAATGCTTTCACAAGACTTTGAAACAGAACCCTGGTAAAACAAAACCAAATCACCAACAGCATCAGCCCCAAATTTTAAAAGCATAACTATTAATGCCTAAAAGTATAAACATACGATCATGGTCCTGGAAAACTTCCAGACATTCTAATAAACCTAATTTATGCAAAAGAAATGATATTACAACAAACCTCACTTGAAGCAGTGGATTCTGGTGCCAAACAATCAAGGTTCTGAAGAGACCAAAAACCTGGAGCTGGAAAGAACTGTGGACATAGATAGTTAAGTCGAGCTGCAATTCTTGCACTCGCTCTTAGGATTGGAATCTCCACATTCTTCCTGGAAACAGACAGAGAAGCAAAGAGGGCTTTTCACTAACAAACAACAAGGAGCTCCTAATTAATCTTCTGCATGGGAAAAGCTACTTACCTTTCATTCCCAGCCATGATATGTTGGGCTAAACCAAATCTCTTCATCCAGCTCTGGTAGTTCGGACTGCTAATTAGAGATGCAGGACCCAAATGAATGACACAAGTCACGCCCTTAGCATTCTCAGGCGGGCCCGAGAAATCCACATAATAGCGACTGAGACATTTTATGGATACCAGCTCCTCCAAATGAGACTCCGTTGGGCAGTCTACAAGTAATACAATCGGACCAGGAATGGAGGGTTCCATTACATCACTTGGATGAACCTAAACAAATAAGGTCAATAAACTAATTTTAAATACACAATAAAGTTTTTGATGGAGTACATCATTGCCCAGAGCTATATATATCTCTATTTCATAGTTTTCGGAACCAACCGTGATATTTTGAAAATCTGAGTGCACAGAATTTCCAAGTTGCAGTTCCCGATATTTTGACCCAGGTTTAAGACCCAAAGCCTTAGCTTTTTCAGGGTCAAATTTCCCTTTAATCTCAGGTAATTCACAGATGTAAACGACAGACATGTCACCAGGCTTTGCATTAGGTCTACCGTTGCCATTTACTTTAAAGGGTTGTGAAGCATGATCCATCCTATCATCAAGAACCTTTTCTGTTGGATTCTGTGTACTGGTTACTTCATTTGGGAGCCGAGTCCCTTTTGAGAAATTTGGGAGTAGAAGAATGGCTGATATTTTGACAACCTCATCATCAACAAGAACAATCGGCTCTTTAAACTTAGTTTGATCATCCATAAAACCCCCCACAGAACCGAGAGTCGGCCCAAAGCTCCGAGTGTGAACCATGGCAGCATTTGGGATGAAACACCTCATGGCATCTACCAAATACTTGAGATCTGACGGACCCCATACATTGACCTTCAAAACAATTCAAAATATGATTTAAACTCATATTTGGAAGGGTGGATCTAAATGAAATAAGATTAAAGGTGGAGTACAGAAAAGAAGAAAATGGATAGGAAGTAAATCTGATACTCACAGACATTCCTTCTTCACCCATGCCAGCCAAAGTTAACAGCAAACCTGTGAGGTCAAGTAAAAAAATAAAAAATTGAGCAATTTAGGATCAGCAAGAACAACCTCTTTTGAATAATCAGTGCAGATACTGAAAGCACAATAATAATGCTTAAAAGCTTCATCATAGACTTACTAAACATGTTACTGGTGATAACAGAAAACAAAATAAACAATCTTTAATTGCAAGTGCAACATAATAGTTGATCTTTCAAGCAACAAACCTGGAAGTCCACCTGCAGTCTCTGAGCAGACACGAGAGAGAAAAATGTGATCAATCTGAAGAAGCATCAAGAACATCGATAAGGCATCTCAACAATAGGAAGGAACCTCATGAACGAGATGAAGAGCACTTCAAGTTCCAACAGCAGAAAATGGGTAAAGATTTCAGATATCATATACCTTTGACAACTTAATCTTATGTTCTGTGCAGAACCTTTGCAAACCCTGCAGTGAGAGTTATATAGTAAGAGACACTACTTTACTCCACAAAGGGTTTATCATTGATTTGTAATTACTATTTCATACAGATAGTGACAGAATCATCACCTTATTTAATATTACAAACTAACTAGATGTAAATGTATATAATTGAGTTCCTAATGCAACTATCACCTGACACTTACCTCTCCAGCATTAAATATAAATCTCTGTTTGTCAAAGAATAGCAACACTGAAGGAGAAGTATCATGAGTATCCATTCCAGTCCCTAGTATCTGCAATGAGTTTGCATGGGCAAATTATTAGACCATAAATAAGAAAAAGTCTTACTCGAAAATGAAAAGGAAATAAAAGAATTATAGGACCAAACACTTCTTTCTAGAATCAAGACACATACAAACTTTTTTGTTTTCAGGAACTCTTTATTCAGTACAAAAATCGGTAGAAATCCGATTAGTCCTATTCAACAAGCACAACTATTCCAAAAGAGCAACAAAATCAAAGAAATGAACTCAACTGAATAACCAATACTATGAATTGCAGTCTACTCAATCACACAATTGAAGATAACCCATAAATCAAGTCAACAAATTCAAACCAATACTGCTACGAATTTATTCAACAATTAACAAAACCCATAAATCCAAAACCTGATTAAATCAAAATTACCTGCACATAAGATAGGGTATTGATGGGATTAAGGGAGCGCACTTTCCGCTGAAGGTTCTTCTTCGGCCTATCATTCTTGTCGTTGCCCTCAGCTCTTCGCTTGTTGAACCCAGCAGTGTCAGCCTTCTTAGCCTCTGTGGCCTCCTCCATTGCTTCGTCTCTGCCTCCTCCACTCTCTCTGAGAGTGCTTGTGTTCCTGGCACGGAGGTTGGGAGGGTGGTTGTTGGGAAGGGGACGGTGTCGTTTTCGGTAGGAGGAGGCGAGGGCGGTGAAGAGAGAGCGGGGTTTATAGGGTTTAAGGGTGAGAGGAGAGAGGGAGGAGAGACGAGGGAAAGGGGAAAAGAAGAGGAGACGGAGGTTTGGGACTTGTGGAATAAGCATTTGCATTGCAACGACTCAATTGTTATTCATTTGGTCTCCATAAAATTTAATTGATCCACTTAACTAGAAACAGTTTTCGTACATAGATGATACCTTTTTAAGGTGTTCCTTCTCTTTATCAGCAGCTTTTTTCCTTGAACAATCTGGCAGCAAAATTCAGATATTGAAAATTAAAATCTTGTATTATTAATAATAAAAAGAAATAAAATGCTCTCTTAGTAAGGCTTACATATGTTTAAAATTCCAAATATGTCACATGCTATAAAAAAAAGGAGGATATAACAACAACAACAACAACAACAACAAAGCCTTTTCTCACAAAGTGGGGTTGGCTATATGAATCCTGAAACACCATTGCGCTCGGTTCTGTGTCACGTCTTCCGTTAGATCCAAGTACAAGTCTTTTCTTAGAGCCTCTTCCAAAGTCTTCCTAGGTCTTCCTCTACCCCTTCGGCCCTAAACTTCTGTCCCGTAATCGCATCTTCTAACCAGAACGTTAGTAGGCCTTCGTTTCACATGTCCAAACCACCGTAATCGATTTTCTCTCATCTTTCCTTCAATTTCGGCTAGTCCTACTTTGCCCACACATCCAACGAAACATTCTCATCTCCACTACACCCATTTTATGTACGTGTTGATGCTTCACCACGCAACAGTTCGTGCCATAAAGCATTGCCGGCCTTATTGCCGTCTTATAAAATTTTAAAATTTTCCATTGAGCTTTAGTGGCATACGACGGCCACACAACACGCCGGATGCACTCTTCCACTTCATCCATCCAGCTTGTATTCTATGGTTCAGGTCTCCATCCAACTCTCCATTCTTTGCAAGATAGATCATAGGTAGCAAAAGCAATCACTCAATTCACTCCATAAAATCAAATGCAACAAGGTTCTTCTTATATGCATCCCCTTTGTACCACAGAAATAAATAAAAAGCAAAATAAATCTGTATAAATTAAAACAAGAATATGCAAATGCCCTTGGCACCAAGCAAACAAAAAAAGAAACACAATTTAAAAGTCTTTGGCAGCAACAGCAAGCAAAACAAAAAAAATCTAGTATAGTAAGATTGAAGAACAATAAGTCTGGGAATTCTCCAGAATTACAAAGGGCTCAACATGAAGTCTTTTTAGGACACTACAAGTGTGTTTGTTGCATCGGACTATCTCGGACTAGACTAGCTTGAAGGACTAAGCTGAATTGGCTTTTAGACTAGACTAAACTGGACTGACTTAATGAAGGGTTTGGTGCAATGTCAAACTAAAAAATAGGATAATCAACAAACTATAATATTATATTATTTAATGCATTTCCAATAATATTTTATTATTAATTTTACAATTTTCTTTCTTTCTTTCCTAAAAAACTCTACCCCTCTCTCAAAATTTATTTCCTCTTCTCCCTCTTTAGCTCCATCCCATCTCTCCTTTTCTTTTTCTTTTTCCTGCAAAACCCAGATACTTCCCATCTTTCCTTTGAACTCTATAATCTATAGTCTATACAACCAATCAACCATCATCTCTATCAATTATTTGACGGACTCCATTGATTTTCTTTTTCCAGCGAGTTGGTCAAAGTGAGGATCGAAGAAGAAAGAAGCTTTGAGCATTATCTGAAACAGAGAAATGGGTTTTTAGAATGGGTAGAAGAAGAAAGCAAAGCCCAGGGATTTTCTGTTCGTCCCCAAAGCTAACCATCTAGGTTTTTTTTTTTTTTTTTTTTTTTGGGAAAAAGGAATAACAAGCACCGCCGACTGCTGGCCACGGTGACAACGCCACAGAAGAAGAAGGATGCCCAAGGAATGAATGTCGCTGTTTAGCAAGCAAAAGCTGGGGTCTGGATCTCAGTCTCAATTTCCTTTTTAGTCCCACTTAATACCAAGCGAAAGTATGGGACAAGATAGCGGGGTTTAGCGAAGTGGGGAGGGCCTCGTAGTCGAGGCGAATCCCATTTATTGTAGGCCAAGACCTTACCAAACATAGAATTATAACCCCAGTTAAGCCAGTTCCTCCTAAGGAGGTGTAACAAACGCACAAGTCTGGGAATTCTCTTGGAACCTCTGTTCAATGAATGGAAAAGCAAAAAAACAAAAAAAAATCCCCAATCTGACAATACCTAAATCATATATGAGGAAGAAACACATTAATCTCACATGAGCAGGGCAGCCAATCAATATTTAACAAACAGCAAGGAAGAAAAATCCCAAAGTTATGAAAATACTTAAATTAGAAAAATAAAAATTCCTATCTGGAAATAAAAACCAAAAATTTAAAACCCTAATCCTACATTCAGAGAAATTTTTAAAGCAAAAAAATATAAAAGGAAGTCAAAACTGAGGAAATATGGAGAAAATACCGAGGAGGATGAGAGAAGGAGATGCTGTGAGCCTGTGAGGTGTCGCGTAGGAGGGAGGGGGAGGATGAAGGCTTGTCGGCGGCTGAGGGCGGTTGCTGATGTGCCGACGTAGTGAGGGTGAGGGCAGCGTGAATCCTGCTAAGGTGTGAGGGTGAGAGCCGTGAGGCAGGTATCGATAGTTTAGTTTATGTTCTGTGAAAGTGAATTGTAATTGAGAAGGGGTTCAGGGTTTTGGAATAGGTGAAACCACATATTTCAACCAGTCATTAAATAACACGTATATACATATTACAATATATAAATAACTAAATTAATTACGTAAGCATAATGGCTTGATAGGGTTTGAATGAGGGGAATTAATTTTAAAATGCCATATCCAAATCCTAATCATTTATATCAATCATCTATAGGATTATATATATATATATATATATATTATAAACTTTCCTAATTTAAGTTTGATTGTGTAAATCCTAAATTATATTTAATTCTAGTTATTCTTTCATATATCTATATGTACTTGTATTTCTTGGGGATGAAGGAATTTTTCTCCCTCTTATTTCTATAAATAAAGACACTATATAGGAGGGAATAACACATACATTCCCCTACAATTCTACAAACACATCAATAGTCTCTCCCCTTGTCGCCACCCCTTCCCCTTAGTCAGATAAAATAGGCTACAACACGTTACCAGCACGCTTCTACCGCTGCGTTTAGGAATCTGACGTCGAAGCTTTTTCTCCATCAAACAAGTTCATCCATATCAATACGCAATCAGGTTCTTCCAAAACAATGATTTTTATCTCGATATTCTTGCAACTTTACGTTTTTCGCATTTTAGATTCTACATAAATTGTGTATGTATTATATTCATAATTGTTGAATTATGTGAATTTGATATTGCCATGAATTGCATCAAATATAAGTACATGCATTAAAATATTTGAATTATATGATATGCATTGAATTAAAAAAAAAATGGGAAAAAACAGATATCGATAGACGCTAGGGTTCTTTGAACCCATGACCTCGAGCTGCTCGCCCAGGCCTGCAGCCTGTGTGGTTGAGTCAGGTCAAGCCACAACCCAAGAGCTAGCATCTCTCTTTCTCCATGAAAACCAAAACGACGCAGTCCATGGCGTCGTCCCCAAACTTCACTCGCCTGGAGACGAGTCACAGCACCAACGCCGACTTTCATTGAGAACCATGACCTGAAGTTGTGATTTTTGGGACAAATTTATCGTCGAAATTCCCACAGAATTTCATTAAGTTTTCAAGGATTTTGATTTGAAACCTCCATGGTTTTCACACCCAACGTCGAGAAATCGAACTTTCTCCGTTCAAAATAAGGTTCCACGTTGAACCCGTGTTTCCCTCAACCAATATTCACCAAGAACACAACCACCAGCAGTGGCGGCGCTAGCCTCAACTCCGGCGATCTTACCCAGCAACACTGGGTTATTTTTTTGTTCTTAGCCAAACCCACTTGGGCTTGGCTACACTTAGTCCAAACACCAGCCCTTTGGGCTTTGATGTTCTTTTTTAAGCTTATTGGATAGATTTATCAATATGGGCTCACAAATTGCAACCCACAAATTAAAACCCTGCCTAAGTGTGACATTAACCCGCAGGGTTATGGTGTCCTATACGTCTACGACTCACTAGATCGCGTCCTCTCATGGGTTTACCTGTCCACGCTGCACACAGTCCTAGCTCGCTACTAGAGACTTGGTGCACTGCTCCACGCCGCACCGGATATGTACCCTTTCATAGGCTCTCCTTTAGATCCAACCCCTTTTTTTCTCTCTCACCTTGGGCCTGCAGCCCATCCGAGACCAAACTAGTCTAATCTGGGCCTGCACTTCACGACAGATATTTACTCAGCCCACCCATGGGCTTTGGTCCATGTTTTTGGGCCCCCGAGCTTAATTGCCTAATTATTTTAGGCCCAATGGGTTTTATATTTTTTCACCCACACTTTAAATTTGGCTCGAAGTCCAAATAATTAATTCAATTATAATTTTTAGACCTGAAGTCCTGTATGCATATCTCTTGTTGCATATTTCTGTGTATATATTTGCGTTTGTCTACTGGAACATATGAACTTGAAGTTCATAATTATTTTGAAACTTGAAGTTTCTAAAAACATGCCTTGTTTGAAAACCTTAAGTTTTCTTAAAAACATCACCCATGAAAACCTGAAGTTTTTCATGCAAATTTTAACCAATACATGTCTATTAGAACTTGAATGTTCTACTCCTATGTGAATGGATTGATATTTTTCTCCATTGCACGAACCACATCTTGTTCATCTATTTTGTGATAGGAACATGTCGAATTTGAACAAACTCGACTTCACCTCTTTAGAGGTCTCTGAAAGGAACTACCTCAAGTGGGTCCAATATGTGAATCTCCACCTCACTGCAAAGGTTTGCGTCCTGCCATTGAAGATGAGATGGACAACCCTGTTGGCGAAGTTGAGAACGTCACCGCTATGATCTTCATTCGAAGACATATTCATGACACACTACAAACCAAGTATCTTGCTGAGGAGGATCCACAAGCATTATGGGTCGCTTTGGCAGATCGTTTTGATCACCAAAAGGACATCTTCTTGCCTGAAGCAAGACATGACTAGCATCATTTGCGTTTCCAAGGCTTTAAGTTTGTGAATGAATATAATTCTAAAGTTTGTCGAATCCAATCACTTCTGAAGTCTTGTAATGAAACTTTGACCGAAGAAAATCTCTTGGAAAAGACCTATTCGACCTTGTCTGCTACTAATATTGTCCTGCAGCAACAATATAGAGCTCAGAAGTTCACTAAGTTCTCAGATTTAATCTCTATTTTACTTCTCGCTGAAAAGCAGAATCAACTATTGATGAAAAATCATCAAGCTCTACATACTGGGGCGATTGATGTGCCTGAAGCACACTATAGCACAAACCAACACCCAAAACACCAAAAGTGGCATGGTAAGGGCTGCCAGAAGCCACCCCGTCAAGGTCAACAAAGTCAAGGCCTATCTAAGGGAGGAAACAAAGCCCAGAAACACCCTAACCTCACTCCCAAGGCCCCAAACTTCAAGAATAAGGGCAAAACACCTGAAACCATGGATACATATATGTGTTATCGCTGTGGTTCAGGAGACCATTGGTCTCGTGTTTGCTGAGCTCCCCAGAAAGTTGTAGCTAAATATCATTCTCGTCGTAAGAAGTTTGAATCAAACTTTATGTAAGTGGACGAATCTTAGAGTATCAAGATGGAGGTTTTTGACTTTCAAGAAGCCGTTACCCCTATGGAAGATTAGAATCTTAGACATAAACTATCTTTTTTAGCTAAAATAAGACATTGGGGCTGAATTCCACAGTAGTGGGCAAAACCCCCTTGTGTTTTTGACTAATTTTGAACAAATTTCCTTTGTGTTTGGATTATTTATTGGTGATTTATTTTTGGATATTAAGTTTTTAATTAATTTCCATCCTTGAATACTTAAAATTATTTTGAATGGATATTTGTTTTAAGAACTTTTATGCATGTGACCGATTCAAATTAATTTTCATTCTAGGTATGACTAGTGGGGAAGTTAGTTGTTTGGCAGATAGTACAACCACACACACCGTTTTGTGTGAACGCATCTATTTTACTAACTTAATACTTAAGAATGCACCTCTGATAATCCTCTCAGGCCTATCCACCTGATCGAAGGATACAGTAAGACACGTATAATATTTTACAATGGTACAATTATGACCATTGACACTTTATTCTCTGCGTTCCGGAAGAATGTTGTTGAGTTTTAAGGACATTAGAGATAACAATTACCACGCTGAAACCCACATAGAAAATGGAGTTGAATTTATGTGCCTAACTTCCTACGAATATAGCCAGAAGTGTATTCTAGAGAAGATTGAGCGTTTCTCGAGTGGCCTATGTACTACAACCATACACCCTATAGAGAGCCATTATGTGGCCGGCCCTACCTTTGAGACGGCTCACAAAATTACACTTTGGTATGATCGTTTGGGACATCTTAAATGAATAGCAATGTGCTGTATCCTCAAATCATCACATAGGCATCCACTAACCCAAAATTTAGGTTCGATCCAAGGAATCACATGTCAAACATGTTCAACGGGAAAGTTTATTACTAAGCCTTCTTATGACAAGATTTGTACGAATCCTCATATTTTTGTACAAAAGATTCAAAGGGGCATTTATAGACCGATTCACCCTCTATGCTGACCATTTAGATATTTTATGGTTTTGGTTACGCTTCCATACGTTGGTCACACGTGTGCTTGTTGTCCACAAGGAACGCTTGTATTCTCCAAACTGTTGGCTCAGGTTATCAAGCTCAGGGCTCACCAACTTAAATATCCAATCAAATTTATTCGATTGGATAATGTTAGAGAATTCACATCTAAAACTTTTGATGACTATTGCATATCGATTAGGGTTGAAGTTGAACATCATGTACCCCATGTTCACACCCAAAACGGCATGCCAGAGGCATTTATTAAGCGCTTACAAATAATTGCTCGATTTTTTGTCATACGTACCAAGCTCCCGATTGCTGTTTGGGGCTATGCAACATTACACGCAACTATGTTGGTCCGCCTGAGGCATGTTGTGACACAACCATATATCACCCTTCAGTTAGTTACCGGATATGAACCCGACATATCGCATCTGCTAGTTTTTGGTTGTGTGGTCTATGTGCCGATTTCGCCACCCTTACATACAAAAAATAGGGCCTGAACGAAGGATGGGAATCTATGTCAGATATAATTCTCATTCAATTATTCGTTGCTTAGAACATTTGGCAGGCAATCTGTTTATCGCTTATTTCGCGGATTGTCACTTCTATAAAACAGTCTTTCAGTCATTAGGAGAAGTTAATAACATCAACGTTCCTGAAGAACGACACGAATTATCGTGGACGACTCCTATTTTGTCTCATTTAGATCCCTACACCGCTTAGTCTAAAACTGAAGTGCATCGTATATTAGATCTTCATAGCATAGCTCAGAGCATGCCAGATGCTTTCAACTTTTTAGCGCGAGTGATAAGATTGCATATTCCAACTGTGAATGTGCATAGAAAGATGGATGTACCAAATATAAGACGAATTTCCCTTCTGAAGGCCTTGGACGCCAATTTAGGTGATCGGCATACATTAGCGGCTAGCCAATAATCTGCCCCTACACA